CGGTAGGGCGCTCCCGGACCGGAGCGAAACTCCCTTCCTCCGCCTCGACCTCGTTGAGCAGCTCGCGCATGGATAGTGCTCCAATTGTCTCGGTGTACAACCGTGACAAGCCATCCACGTGCCCCATAACCGTTCCAGGCTTATGGAACACCTTAAATCGTAGTTGAGAGAGTTTCATGGCACAACCAGCGAGTTTAGCATTACTCGTACGGTTAGTTTAGTTAAAGACCCAGGTTAACGCTTTGTGATCGGTGAACAGGTCGAATTTGCGCCGATCCAAATAGCAACGGAACCTCTTCGTGGCCCACACAATTTCCCAGCACTCGATCTCCGACGTGCTGTCTACCGTCCTGATCCAATTTTTCTCCGATCCGACCAGCAGTTTACTAGCATAAGCCACCACACGATCCCGGCCATCCACTGTTTGCATTAAGCATGCTCCCATAGCAATCTTGGACGAGTCCACGTAGAGCTTGAAACGCTCGGCGAGCTTGCGCTTGAGCTGGACGAAGGCCGACTCACAATCTTCGCTCCACTGGAAGGGCACGTCCTTCGCCTTTAGTCGTTCAATTGGGGGCCGAGATGGCCGCGTAGCCCGGGATGTAGCGTCGGAAGTAGCTGGTCCGCCCCAGGAACGCCTGGACCGTGTGGATATCGTGGGGTCGGCGCACGTTAAATACAGCCTTTACTTTTTCGGGGTTGGGTAGGATGCCTGTCGGCGTCACTATATGCCCAAGGAAGGCTACTTGATCTCTTCCCCACTTGCACTTTTTCATTTTGAGTTTGAAACCAGCAACTCGGAAGCGCTCCAACACCTGCTTTAGCCTCCCGAGGTGCGTAGGGAAACCTTCGCTAAAAACCACGCAGTCATCCAATTAAACGAGACATGTCCTCTATTTGAGATCCACAAAAACGGTCTCCATCAGTCGTTCGAAGGCGGGGACTGCGTTGCACAGACCAAAGGGCATCACCAGTCATTCGTAGAGCCCGTACTTGAAGGTGAAAGCTGTCTTCTCAACACTGTCCGCGGCCATGGGAACGTTCCTATAGCCAGAGGCAATATCCATTGTTGAGAACAATTTAGCGTTCCCGAGCACATCGAGAATGTCGTCTATCAAGGGCATGGGTTAGCAGTCCTTGATCGTGACGGCATTCAAGCGACGATAGTCAATGCAAAACCGTATTCCCCCGTCAGGCTTGCGGAATCATCAGTACGGGGCTAGCCCATGGGCTATTAGAAGGTCTGATAAAGCCCGACTCAAGATACTGCTGGATTTCGGCCTCCATGACATTTCCTTCGGCGCCGACGCGCGGTAAGGGAGTTTCTTGATGGGAGGGTGATCTCCAGTATCGATGGAGAATTCCAACAAGTCGGTTCGACCGGGCCTTAGCGAGGTCTCGACGAATAAATCTCGGAAAGTCTCCAGGAGGGCACGGAATAACTCCCTCTGCTCCCCATTCAACTTCGAGCCTTCAAAGTCCGTCTTAACCCTTACTAGAGCCACTTTAGTGAACTATAGTATACAAACTAGGATAGTCCGTATCAAAAGGAGGCAAAATGCCTCCTTTAAGGCGAGTGATTGTCCACCTTCAAATC